ACAATGTGAAGACTCGAGGTGGGGTTGTGGGGGTGGGAGGGAGGTCAGTGAGGGTAAGAGGAGACAGTAGCCAGAATACATGCATTGTGTACATGTATGAAGTTAATAGGAAATATGCCAGTTGAAAACATGAAACATTAATGATCATTAGCTGGCGCTCCTGTATGGACACTAGCACCACAAGACTGGAGAGCACGTCCACTCTAATCACCTTTAAAAATGCAAGTGTTTGATTCCATGGTTCCTCAGAGCTCTCTTGTTTCACTCTATTACTCCTATACACATGACTCTCTCCAAAATCATAGGCCAAGCCAGAGGGTAAGAACCGAATTGGCTTTCCCCAGTTTTCCTGGGTGGGAAAGCTGTGTACTGTTTTCCACCAGTAAATATACCTGTTCCTTTATGACCTGTCATTGCCACTATGTTCAAGCAGCAGACAGGAGACACACCACCTTTCTGAAAAGAGTAATAAGTTATATACATGTTGATTGTTGAAAAGGAATGTTTTGAAGAATTTAAAACCTATTTAAAAACAACAGCAACAACACAAACAAACCCATAACCAAACCTACCATCACCTTTAAACGTGTTGGTGACCCCTAGTGGCTGCTCCGCATAGCTGACTGTGACTGAAGGGCTGAAGCATAGTCCTGTTGTGATTTCTGTTGAGTTCACACTGGGATTGGAGACTTCACTGTGAGGCTGAGGCTTCTGTCCCAGCTCTTATATAGACTTAATGCCTTTCAGAGTACTTTGACTTTATGGATACCTTTATTTCTATAAACTAAACAGTGAAAGGGTAAAGAATTCTGGTGTATCTCATCAGTGCTTCATTCCATTACACAGGGGACTTGTAAGTCTCATCTAATCCTTATATATAAAGTGATATTTTTCAGACTGAAGGGTCTGAATTTTTTCATTTTAATTCATAGATTATCTGATTATGTTGCAACATATACTGAATCCCCCCTTTGCTTTTAACTTTTCCTTACCATGGCAGTAAAGTTACACACTTATCCCAAACATGGAAACTTGTGTTGTAGCTCCCCAAGTAATTTCTGAGATCTGACTGGACAGGGATGATTCACCTTTGGTCAACATCTTACCTGCACATCAGTGGCTTGTAGAGTGTTAGATAATGGTCTCTGCCCTCCTGTGCCCTCAGTGTCCTCCTGTGCCCTCAGAAACCTCCATCCTTGATGAGGCCTGGAGTGTATTGTTTCCAGTTTCATCCATAAACCAGTGCGTTTGCAAGTAGGGTGTACTAACCCTCCAGCATCTCTGCAACCTACCCAGGACACTGTGCTACCCTCTGTCTCTGAAGTACACACTGATCTGCCAGTTCCCGGAAAGATAACTAAGCTTAGTGTTGGAGAAGTCTGCTCAAAGAGTCACTTTTTATCTAGGAACATGAAAACTGAATATTGTTTTATTTCAAAAGGTCATAACTTTTAGTTTAAGAGAATCAGTATCACTCCCCCCGCCCCCCTTGGTTTTTCGAGACAGGGTTTCTCTGTGTAGCTTTGGCGCCTTTCCTGGAACTCACTCTGTAGCCCAGGCTGGCCTCGAACTCACAGAGATCCACCTGGCTCTGCCTCCTGAGTGCTGGGATTAAAAGCATGTGCCACCACCGCCCAGCTCTCAGTATCACTTTTATTTTCTTCTTTACACTTAGGTATTCCCTAAATGTTCTGTCTTGAACATCTGGTTTTATGTTCAGCAAAAGCTCTTTAGCGGTACACAGGTATACACAGCTCTCTGGAACCAGCCTGTCTCAAAGCAGTAGCTAGAAGTAAAAGTTCATAGAGAGTGACTGTTCTGTTTCAAGAAGATGAGCCACCGAGCTGTGATGTTCTCCTGGTGGACTCCGCGCTTCTGTGCGACTCTGTTTTTATTTCACAATTTCTTTTTATGTTTACTTGTTCGTTCGTTCATTCATTCATTCAGTGTGTGTGTGTGTGTGTGTGTGTGTGTGTGTGTGTGTGTGTGTGTGTGTGTGTCCCTGAACGTCTGCACTGTGGAGTATGTGGAGGTCAGAGGACAACTTGCAGGAGTCAGTTCTCTCCTCTGCCGTGTGGGTCTTGGGGATTGAGCTCTGGTTGTGAGATTGGGAGACTTGGTTACAGCACTTTTGGCCACAGAGCCATCTTGCTGGCTTTGTTTGTTGTCTTTGCAACAGAGTCTCACTGAGTAACCCAGGATGATCTCAAACTCTGAGTAGTTCTCCTGCCTCAGCCTCCGGAATGCTGAAGTGATGGGTGTGGGCCAACTTGTCTGGCTGTTTTTACATCCTTTGAAGATAGCCTCTTGTCAAGTTGAAGCAGATGTGTTACACAATTGAGCCAAGTTTATTGTCATGGTTTTAGACCCCAGAGAAAACGGGTTGGCTTAGATGAATGGATTTCTGAGGAAACAGAGACAGACGCCACAGAGCTCCCATTACTTGGTTACTTGGTAGAGATCTGTGTGGGCTTTGTTTTGGTGTCCATTCGGCTGTCGCTTGGCTGTGCGTCAGCTGACCCCATTTTCATTAGAAGACTTTCTCTGTGCATATGCCCTTGCTTGACCTGTGATAACCTGTAGCTCATCCTGAGTGGAAACGTGTGCTCGCTCCACGTCGTTCCCAGATGTGTACCTGTCGTGTCTCCGTGGTGGTTTTCATTCTTTAGCTTACATTATCTTTCTCTATTTTTATGTTGAAAAACATAAAGCAGAAGCATGTCTGAGAAAGATAGTAAAAATACTTAAATCTTTGTGTCTCCCCCTTTAAGAATTTACGTTCATTCTTTTTAACATTTAAATTATTAACTATACAATCTGGATTGATTCTTAGAGTAATTTGCTATGTTGTTTGATTAGCAAAATAACCAGTGGTAGATAATAACAATTGTAGTTTTTTATGGCCCCTCCACCCCCTCAAAAAACCTACTTAAATAAACAAAAAAATCTTCCAAACCAATAGGAACATGTTTTGAGGATGAGTGTGCCATCTCAAACCATTTTCCCTGTGCATATTTACAAAGTAGCTCATGTGTGCTAATGTGGTTTCCTTCCTGTATATGTCATCTGACTGTAGAAATAAAAATAGCTCCTTTCTGGTTTTGTTCTCTATTTAAAGTTAGTTGGACTGGACTTCAAGTACTTTCTCTAACAAGTGGCTTTCTGCAGAATCTTTTCTGTGGCCTACAGTGGTGTGGTGTTGTGGGGTTTTGGTTGGTTGGTCGGATGCTTCTCCCTCTTTACCTAACTCCTAAATCCCAAAGCACTGATGCTCCCAGCCTGAGTCATTAATCCCCATCACTTTCCTTTTTAAAGTCCTGGAGATTTCCTTCGCCCTCTTTAGAGCCTTTTGTTTGGGAGGCGGCAGGGCTAGACAAGCCTGGATCTGTGCGCTGGCTCTGCAGCTTCCAGCCAGCCAGCCCTGTCTCTCTTCCTACTAAGGGTGGCGGGGGCCCGACTTTGCAGGCTTATTGTGCAGAATGGAAACTAGGAGGATGTGATTATTGTGGGTCGGTTGGTAACGGCTTTCTGTAAAGGGCCAGATGGTATTTTAGGTTTGAAAGGTGCTTGTCATAGCTACTCACTTCTGCCCAGACGGCATGGACGCAGCCACAGACACTGGACGTGACTGTTCCTGGCTATGTCCCAATACATTTGTTTGTAAAAACAGACTTAAGCCTTTCAACATGATGGCACACTTGTAATCCTAGCACTCAGGAGGATCAGGAGTTCAAGGCCAGCTTCACCTGCATACCAAGTTCCCAGCTGGCTCGGAAGATGTGAGACCCTGTCTCAAGCAAAAGCAAAAGAAACGTAAAATCATGTAGCTTGGTTTGGTGGTACACACTTGTAATCTCAGCACTGAAGAGGCTGAGACAGGAGGGTTCCAGGTTCTAGGCGAGTCTGGGCTACATAAAGACCCTGTCTCAAAATGAAACAAAAATCCAGGAGATGGGCCATAGTCTGTTGACCGTTGTCTAAGACTAATAAAAGTAACAAATGAAGAAGAGACAGAGAGTAAAGTGAATTCTGTGCAGCTCTTACTTGAAGTGGACTGTTGAGAACTGAGGGTGACTTAAAGGCTGGTCTGCAAACTCAGACATTAAAGTCTGTGTCTGACGACATGTTAAAGGGAGTAGAGGGGACAACTGGAGTCAGGGCGGGGAGACCAGAGTGAGCCGGCATGAGGTTCCAGCTCACCTGAACTGGACTGAGGGCTGTCTTGTTATGACCTCCCCAGTGCCGTGTGATGCGACACTCACATCATATGAGACAGGACAGGTTTAAAAGCTCCACCGCTGTCATACTCTGCTCAGTTAACAAACTTAAGTGAAAATTCCAGCAATAGGAGCCGTGAAGAACATCTCTAGATCTATGGACTCATACAGATGGAGAGCATCCTCAAACACATCTCTCCTTGTTCTCTCAAATACAGTATATTAAAAGATACTCTAAGCCGGGCGGTGGTGGCGCACGCCTTTAATCCCAGCACTCGGGAGGCAGAGCCAGGCGGATCTCTGTGAGTTCGAGGCCAGCCTGGACTACCAAGTGAGTTCCAGGAAAGGCGCAAAGCTACACAGAGAAACCCTGTCTCGAAAAACCAAAAAAAAAAAAAAAAAAAAAAAAAAAAAGATACTCTAGACGCGGGGTGTCACTCAGGGGTGAAGCCATCCCTGTCTCCCATGAGGCCTGGGTTGTTCCTCATCACTGCAGAAAACACAAACCAAGTGGTAACAGCCGTGACCTTGTGATTTAGCCGTTTACAGGCCAGTCTTAGGATGCCTTTCACACAGCGTTTATTGTCCGGCTATTCCTTTCCCATCAGACCATGACGGTCACAGCTGTCAGGTAAGTTTTTAGCTTGAGGCCTACCTTAACTGTTAGCCCTTTACTGTAGATGGAGGCTAACTGCCTGCCGCTGCTGCAGGACTGAGCCGAGTGCTCAGAAGACACCACTTCCCCCGTTGCCATTGGGTAACCATCTTCAAACTTCCTTTTAGAAACTGATTCAACAGGACAAAAAGACAGAAACCAGACTCCTGCTCCCACTGCGGCTCAGACTTCCGCTCCTTCCAAGTACCATCGAACTCGATCTGGAGGGGCCAGAGATGAGCGCTACCGATCAGGTGAAAAGGAATTGCAGTAGTTTTCCTGCCTGTAGTGTGAACTGTGTCTCGAGCTGTATGAACTGTGTTCTGAGCAATGTGAACTGTTTGTACCGAGTAATGTGAACTATGTTTCCCAGGCAGTGTGAACTGTGTGTCCTGGGCAGTGTGAACTGTGTGTCCCGGGCAGTGTGAACTGTGTGTCCGGGGCAGTGTGAACTGTGTGTCCTGGGCAGTGTGAACTGTGTGTCCCGGGCAGTGTGAACTGTGTCCTGAGCACGTGAGCTAGGAGGTTGTGTTCCTTCACTCAGTGGTGTGTCCAGCATGTACTGAGTGTCAGCTATAGATTCTCAAGTTTTCTGACCAGACAGCAGCAAATGAGACCATTTCTGCCCTCAAGAAATTTCAGTTTCAGAAAAGGATCCAGACAAGCACAACATCACTGTGAGTAAATAAGTCGAAAGAAGGTGGGAGGGAGTTCAGTCCCGTGGGAGGAGGAGGCCGCTCTTCGGTGCGTGCAGAGTTGCTGAACAGTCCACGGCTCTCAGGCCTGACAAAGCGCAGTGGAACTTCCCAGAGTGAGCTCCAGCTTGACATCCTCTAACCAGAAGGTGCTACAGGCAGGGAGCAGGACAGAGCACTGTGCTCTGCGGGGCAGTGGTGCGCAGAAGAGCAAATCCCAGCACGTCTCTGTGACACCCGTGTGCTGTCTGTCCGCTGTGCAGCACATCCTGCGACTTAGGGAACAGAACTAGGCTGGAAAACTGAACTCTAGATTTTGCCCCCTTTTACCAGCCAAAGTTCCCATGACCTTTTCTCGAATTGAAAAATATCCTCTCGGAAACAGCATTTAAAAGGACATGCTTACAGAGCCCACCAATCCCTTCTGTGAATGGATTTTATTAGACACATATTTTTAAATATGGGATGATGAAGATGAGAGATATTCAGTCACCACCACAAAACTACTTCACATCAGACCAATTTCCCTCGAAACTTACTTGTCCTGAGGAGTCAGGTAATAGGAGAGTCATGGCAGAGAGACAAGAATTAGTCAGGGAAGTGGCACCAGATGGTAGGCCCAAAAGTAGTTCATTTTAGCTGGAACTTAGAGTGCAGGGACCAGCAGGAGTGAAGACAGGCTAGGGGAGGTTTCCAGAGGCCGAATCTTGAGCATTCGTAAGTGTACTAAGAGATTAGCAGAGCGGAAATCTGTTCCGATTTTATTTGTTCTGGCAGCTCACTCCAGTGCACACTGCTGTACACAGCTGTACTCCAGTGCTGAAGAGGTCCTTTGGGGACACGAAGCAAGTAAAGTAGGATTGCTTGTTTGGCTACTGGATTATGATATGGCCCAGACTGCCCTTCGATGCACGAGTCCTCCTTCCTCAGCCTCCCAAGTGCTAGGATTACAGGTGTACACCACCACTCCCAGTTAAACGCAGCTGCATTTAAGGGTGGATCAGAAGGAGGTAACTTACTCTGGAAGCAGTAGAGCATATCCAGACTTCTTTTTTGTTGCCAAGCATCCAACCTGGTTTCCTAGGTACCACTGTCACCTTTGGAGGCCGACTCACAGTCAGTGGTGTGCTCTAACCAGAGAAGAAGGGATTGGGCACTTAGAATTCTCATTTTGAGCCTTCTGGGAGATTTTGATTTCTCCCCTGGTTTATCTTTCTTTCTTGATGTGTTAATGGATTATGATAAAAGACTTAATTTAAGGGACCAAGAAAATTATTTCCTGAATTCTGTGTCCAAAACGATTGTAGATCAAAAAGGCTTTGTGAGCTCACTGGCTGATGTGAAGTTTGTGATGCTCTCTTCCAGAAACCTAGTTGTGATCTCGAGCCCCTGCCATTTTGAACCACTTTTAGAATTCCCCAGCTGATAGGAAGTGTAGTCTGTGAGCCAGGTGTTTGGTAAGTACAAGGACAGTGATAAGACTTCAGTGGTGGTCAGGGTGGTATTTATCTTTCTGGAATTTGTGGGAGGGAGGAAACCAGCCAGAGACAGGCCAGGAGGGAGCAGTAAGTAGGGAAGAAAGGGTGAGTCACAAAAATCATCTCTGCGGCTCAGTGGCTGAGAGTACTTGCTGCTCTGGCAGAGGATCTCGTTTGGGTCTCAGCACTCACATCGAGTGGCTCACAACAGTCTCTAAGTCTAGCTTCAGAGGATCTGATATCATTTACTGGCCTCCAAGGGCACCCACAAGTATGTATGCAAACACACAACACAGAAACAAAAATGAAAATAAAATAAATCCTTTTTTTTTTTTAATCTCTGAAGGGATGGAGAGATGGCTCAGTGGTTAAAAGTACTTGTATCGCTGGTCAGTGGTGGCGCACGCCTTTAATCCCAGCATTTGGGAGGCAGAGCCAGGCGGATCTCTGTGAGTTCGAGGCCAGCCTGGTCTACAGAGTGAGTTCTAGGACAGGCTCCAAAAAACACAGAGAAACCCTGTCTCGAAAAAACAAACAAACAAACAAAAAGAGTACTTGTTGCTCTTCCAGAGGATCCAGTTTCAATCCCCAGCACCCATATGCATCTGTCTGTAACTCCAGTTCCAGGGCATCTAATGCCCTCATCTGGCATCCAGTGGCGTGAGCACATGTATACACACACACACACACACACACACACACACGAGAATGTGGCAAAATACCCATACACATAAAATAAATAATGATATGACTCTTTAAAAAGCACCTCCCTGACATTAAAAAGAAATCTCCAAACATATGAAGAGCTATGAGAATTGCAGCGTTGTCATAAGGGGAACATAAAAGTCAGGTAAGTATAGATAGACAAACACTGTGGCTTTCAGTGTACTGGGACCTGTTCAGTTGAATAGCCACGGAGACTCTCAGCACATTGGAGAATGTAATGGTCTCAGAGTTCTGGCATTCCTGAAATCAGTAGCAACTGCAGAGATGAGGGAAGGGAGCTTCCACCTCTGGATCTCTAGTCATGAGGAGGGCTGTACAAGATGCCACACACAAAGTAGCTCAAGAGCATAAGGGATGTTTAGTAAAACTTGCAATTCAGAGTGAGGTGGTATGTACACAGAAAGGCTTGGTACTTTAATGCTGGTAAGTGCGACTGAAAAAAACTCTTGTTTATCGGCACCTGTGACGTTTCAGTCACAGTTGACTCTAAATAGCCTTTGTGCTTAATGTTTCAGATATAATTGTAAGAGCTTATGTTTTCAGAGTTTGTTTATTTTATGTGTGTGGCTGTTTTGCCTGCGTGTATGTCTGTGTATCATGTGTGTGCCGAGTGTCCATGGAGGTCAGAAGAGGCTGTTGGATCCCCTGGAACTGGAGTTACAGACTTTTGTGAGTCGACATGTGGGTGCTGGAAATGGAACCTGGGTCCCCTGGAAGAGCAGCCAGTGCCCTTATTTGGTGAGCCGTCTCTCCAGCCCCTGCTTTTAGGAGTTAGTTTAGCTCCTGTGACCTGCTATTGGTGCTTAGCCAGAGGACCTTGAATATGCTGCTGATGTAGTTAGTACCTCTTCTTCCTGACTGTTAGGAGTGGTACAGCTTTCTACACAGTGTGGTTTGTTTCCAAGTGTAGAAAACACACAGTTAATGCTTATAGCAGAAAGTGAGTCCATCTAACAACACCTTTGATGTTGATCTTTTGAGAAATTAGCCACCCCTAATAAAACAATAAAATGAGAAAGGACATTCAAGGTGTGTTAGCATCACCCTGTTAAGCTGGAGAACAATCCTCAGCTTCCATGGCTTCTGGCAGAGAAATCCAAAGTCAGCTTTGTCCAGGGACTGAACATCGGAAGTGATTTCCTTATCAGCGATCAAGATGAATCCTGCACCGTTGAACCGTCACAGTCTGTTAGGACGGCTGCTGCGTTCTCATCAGCGGGAAGCTTGGCTAGAATAACTGGTCTGCCTCCTTTGACACAGAGTCTGGGCCAGGGTTTTCCTGCAGGGACAGTAGGGTGGCCCGGTATTCTTGGACCTGATGCTCTGACTCCTACCGTGCGGTTCTTAGTGACACAGATGGTTTAGGCCTCCCAAAGACTTATCAGCAGGGACGATGCCTGTCTTTAGCGCATTGCTCTCACATTTCCTATCACTTGTAGACATACTTGGGGAGATAAAGAACCAGTGAGAGAGCACTGGCTTGCTCCTGTTCTGTCATTGAGAAAGGACTTTATCTCATTGGAAATGCTTTCTTATTTTCCAAGACAGTGGCAAACCGTATTTCTTCTAATACAAGGACCCTTTTTAAAAAACATTTTATTTATTTATTTTTTTATTTTATTTTATTTTATTTTTTTATTTTTTCGAGACAGGGTTTTTCTGTGTAGCTTTGCGCCTTTCCTAGATCTCGCTCTGTAGACTAGGCTGGCCTCGAACTCATAGAGATCCACTTGCCTCTGCCTCCCAAGTGCTGGGATTAAAGGTGTGTGCCACCACCGCCCGGCTTTAAAAACATTTTAATATGTCTATTTTATAAGACAGTGTCAAGATTTCAATAAGATATGGCAATCTGGATTTGAGTAGACTTAGGGAACACTAAAATAGTATGATAGATATAAATGCACGTAAAATTATTTCATTTGAGAACCCAAAGTAAAGTAATTTGGTGCTATGGTTTTAAAAGTAATAGCTGGAACTGGACGTGGTAGTTAGTGTACACCTATAATCCCAGCACGCAGGGGTCTGAACATTAGTTAACGTTCATAGGCACAGAGACATGAGAGGAAAACATACCCTCCTAATGAGCTGGTGGATCTTGCAAAGTTCTTACTTAGTGTTGTCTGTGTTCAGATTGTTTTCATGACATAGAATTGCTAATTTTTTTCTTTTTGGTGGTTCTAGGGATTGAAGTAGGATTGGACTAGGGCCTCACACACTCCAGTCAAGTGCTTGGCCACTGCATGCTCCCCACTGCTCATTTTTCTTATTGTTGACAAAATGACCCATAAAAGCCTCCCTGGGGTGTATTTGCAAGCAGGACAGCAAACTGGCCTATGACAGTCCATGTGAGTCACTCCATGTCTTACTACACACGCTCACCGTTAGTTTGGAGTCTTCCGAGTTTGTGTTGGGGAATGCTGCAATACCTCCCTCTTTCATCTGGATGAGAGCTTCTCTTGTCTTTGTCCAAATCTGTTCTGTTTGTGGAAGGCGGCTGCCGCAGGTGGTCCAGGTCATGTCTTTCTGTATTAATACATTTCATACTACAGAAGGTATGGACTTGAGTTTAGCCAGCAGTAATGGAGCACTTCCTGTGAGCTCTTCCTGTGGTCTGAGCACAGCATGACGTTCTGGGGAAACACAGATGAAAACACACAAATCCTTCACACAGTCCAGGGTACAAAGGCAGCATCTAAAGGAGGGGCGGGGCCGGGCGGGGTGTGCTGCCCAGGGCAGGCTGCATTGCTGGTGCTGTCCATCTAAAGGAGGGGCGGGGTGTGCTGCCCAGGGCAGGCTGCATGCTGGTGTTGTCCATCTAAAGGAGGGGTGGGGCCGGGCAGGGTGTGCTGCCCAGGGCAGGCTGCATGCTGGTGCTGTCCATCTAAAGGAGGGGCGGGGCTGGGCAGGGTGTGCTGCCCAGGGCAGGCTGCATGCTGGTGCTGTCTTAGCCATTCTGAAGGATAAATAGCTTGTTTACTCTGTGTAAAAGAACATGATTTATCAAAGCAGATAATGTGAAATATGGGGTTGAAATTCTATCTTCCCGCCCTACTTAGTACATAGAACTGGGTTGTCAAAGAATTTGCAGGGCCAGAGAACTTACTTTTGAGGTTCGTTTGGAGAAATGAAGAATGGCTTAGAAAACACAGAGAAGGGTGAGGAATAGCCAGAAATCAGCTCTGTCACAGTGACTCATAGTTAGGACGGTTTGTGTGGCGCACACACTATTAAGATAGAGTAGCGAGTTCAGCTGTAGACCAGTGTACTTCTGAGAGTCTTTACTGTGGGATCTGTAGCTGGCATTGCAGATCACCAGGGCACACAGGTACTGTTGAAATACTGGTGTTCACTTCACACAGGTGGAAGACGGTGGAGAGCACACCTGTCTCCCACTTCACCTCTCTGGGTTAGAGATCTGAATGATACAAGGATACACGTACCAAAGGAAACCAGTGGAGTCTTCTTTTTTTTTTTTTTTCCTTTTTGGAGCTGAGGACCAAACCCAGGGCCTTGCGCACCACTGAGCTAAGTCTCCAACCCCCAGTGGATTCTTCTATCACTTGGACTTTATATATAGAAAGACTTTCTGATGCAGTAAAGGCCACATAAAATTGTTTATGGTGGTGGGAAAACAGCAGAAGTTTACCTCTTGGCAGTTTGTATCTAGTATCTCTAACACAGGAAGAGAAATTAAGGGAAGACAAAGCCAGAAGTTGGTGGGGAAAATGGTCCGATGACATGAACGTTTGTTTTACCTCAGCGGCACAGGCACTTGCTGCCAAGCCTGATGACTTAGTTCACTTCTTGGAACTCACATAGCGGAAGAAATGAACGGGCTCTGACCTCTACATGAGCACCTGGCCACCAGTACTGTCTTAGTACTGTGATGAGAGGCCATGACCAAGGGAACTTGTACAAGAAAACATTTATCAGGAGAGCCGGCTGTTTGTTGTTGTTGTTGTTTTAACCAAAACAAAACCTCACACAAAACATGCCAGGTGCAGTGGCACACACCTTTAATCCCAGCACTCAGGAGACAGAGACAGGCGGATCTCTGAGTGAAGGTCCGCCTTGATCTACATTATGAATTCCAGACAACCAGGGCTACATAGTAAGACCCTGTCTCAGAACAGACAAACCAGCCGGGCGGAGGTGGCGCACACCTTTAATCCCAGCACTCGGGAGGAAGAGGCAGGTGGATCTCTGTGAGTTCGAGGCCAGCCTGGGCTACAGAGGGAGTTCCAGGACAGCCAGGACTACAGAGAGAAACCCTGTCTCCGGGGGGAAAAAAAAAGGAGGAGGAGAAGGAGAAGGAGGAGGAGGAGGAGGAAGCAGCACCTCCACCATCACCACATGGATTAATTTAACAGACGCTATCTAACAGAATATTCAAAATTACTGTCATCATTTTAGAATGGCACGTTCTTTTGGTATCCCTGTCAGAATATATAACCTGAATCTAGTTATAAGAATATATCAAAGCTGCCAACATTAGGGGATATTTTCTGAAAATAGGCTATACAACAATGTCACAGTAATACAGGACAGGAAGACTAAGACACTGTCCCAGATTATAAGAGGATAAAGAATCAGGATGACTAAAGGAAACGTGTGTCCAGATCAGGAGAAGCTCGCAGGAAACCATGGCATTATTGGGACAGCTAACTGAACTGAAATGTGGATTGTGAATCCGATGTAGGATGAGTGCATCAGTGTTGAGGTTCCAGATTAAAAAAACAAGATCTCACTGTGTAGCCTTGAGTGGCTTCTACTTCACAGAGATCCACTTGTCCCTGCCTCCTGAGTGCTTGCTAGAGCACACCTGGCTAGATTTCCAGATTTCACAACTCAACAGTGGTTATATAAGAGAAAAATTCTTACTCTAAGGAAGCATTAGTAAGAAGTGCATACTCATTGATTTCACCCCTTTCCTTGGAGTTAATGCTAAGGAAATAATTAGATGTGTCCTAAGTGAAAATTACTCTTATTGTGGACAGTAGTAAGAAAAATATAAACAACTTAATATTTGATATTAGAGGGTTGCTTAAGTTGGGCTCTGTTAACTCAGTGAAACACTCTGGAGCCCTTGAACTTCCGCTGTGGAGCTGTTTATAGGTTAGAGTTTTATTTGTGTTAGCAGCACTGTTGGGGAGCACTAGCAGCTGCCGACTTGGGCTACCTTAAATAGCTGGTGTAGGTCACAGAAGGAAATGGCCGAGAAACCCCTAGAATGGGAGAGAACTCCGGGGATCTCACTTGAAGTTCAGAATCTCTCCTTTCTGGGTCGTTGTCATTAGCTCCATGTGCTCTAGGACCTACGCTTTCTGGTTCAGAGTTTAAATCCCCCCAAAGAAGGGTCTGCCTGGACGAGCTCATGTGAGGTCACACTTAAGAGCAGAGAAGCCTGGACGGATGTGGCTGGAGCCATTGCTGGGTGAGGAGAGACCATCAAGTGGGAAGTACCCTGGGTTTGCTCTACCTCAGTAGGATCTGTAAGAGCCCCCTTACTTCCCTTTAGTCTTTGTGTGTGAAGGGGCAGGTGTACATGTTTGTGTATGCACGTTTGTGTTGGTGTGACTGGCTGTGTACTCGTGTGTGCGTGTGTGTGCAGGCTGGAAGTCCAAGTTGAATGTCTTGTAAGAGGGTCATTCACAGAGCAGCGGCAGAATGCGTCGTACTGTATGCAGAGTGGTGGGAGGTAGGGGGTTGTAGTGGGGTGGAGAGGCCAGAGTTCTGTTTGGAATATGTTAATTTTCAGGTTCCTAGGATGTGTGCAAGAGGGCAGAGCTGTGTGCAGACTGGAAAAGGAGTAACATGTGCCCCTGTGACTTTCTAGACCAGAATCATCCCTTCTGTTCCTGTGGCACAGACCCGAAGGGTCTCAGCTGAGTTCTTCCTGATAGCCAAGTACACCCTAAACTACTTGGTTGGACATGTTCTGATCAACATTTTCAGATTAGGACCCAGTAAACATTTCCCTAGAATTGACTTCAGTTCACTTAAAGGAGGGCTCCCTCGGGCACAGGTGCTCACTAGACTCCCGCCCCCTGGCCCCTTACCTGTGTCCCACAGTTGGGTAATCAGTCTTCACTGTTCTCTGTGACATTGTTCTTGACTTCTTCTCTTTCTATCTTTGCTTTTTATCTTAATTGATCTGACTCAAAAGATAAATAAAACCACCTAAACCTCTCCCTTGCCTATTTTTTTTAATTTAATTTATTTTTTGTGTGTGTATGGTTTTTCGAGACAGGGTTTCTCTGTGTAGCTCTGGCTGTCCTGGAACTTGCTTTGTAGACCAGGTTGGCCTCGAACTCACAGAGATCTGCCTGCCTCTGCCTCCCAAGTGCTAGGATTACAGGTGTGTGACACCACCGCCCAGCCCCCCCGGTGTTTTTGACAACCTAAGTACCAATAGTTCATCCTTCAGAGGTTACCATCCAGCACAAGTGCAAATAACTCTGTCCGCTTAACTTTTCAGATATCCACACAGAAGCGGTTCAGGCTGCCCTGGCAAAGCACAAGGAGCAGAAGATGGCTTTGCCCATGCCCACCAAACGACGGTCCACGTTTGTCCAGTCTCCTGCGGACGCTTGCACTCCTCCAGGTAGGTCTCTCCGAACTCCTCTCCCTGACAGTTACTGAGGTGAGACCTGGAAGCCTTCGCACATCATCAGATGAACTTACGGCGTGCACTCTGAAGGTGGTGGATGTTGCCACTTTGTGCACAGCATGTAACAGGGCATTCTCAGACCTGGACAGACAGACAGCTTCCTTCTGACTCTCCATACTCATGTCATCTGTGAACACAGGCCAGGCCCTTCTGTGAGGACAGGGCTGTTTGCTGTCTCTCCAGATGAGATCCGTAGCCATCGATTTAACCCATTAGTCTCCTCAATTGATGCTTCTTCTCAGTTCAACAGCCGTCCTAGGAGTGGGTAGACTTGGGATGGAGTTTTGTGTGTAAAATCATTAAAGATTTTAGGAGTACATTAGTACAAATTTGAAATAGATCTGGAAAAAGTAGACATTTGTTAATATATTTTTATATCTTTAAAGTTTTCCTTTTTATTGTGAGTTCCAGAGATAAGTGGGAAATAGATATATCCCTTCCATCCTTTATTCCTTCCAGTGTGAATTTAGGAGTTAGAACTTCATATCCTGGGACCGACTAGACAGATCTCAAATTTCTTTCCTGTTCAGAACGTTTCACCAAACTTATAAAAACCTTATTTTTTTCTTAGATCAAATGCCAGATAATATTTTTAATGATTTGTTTATTTTTATTTTATGTGTACGAATGTCTTGCTTGCATGTGTGTATGTGTACTGTGTATGTGCCTGGTGCCCTCGGAGGCCATAAGAAGGTAACAGGTCCCCTAGAACCAGAGTTACACACTGTTACAGTGCTGGGAACTGAACCTGGGTCCTGCAGGAGCAGCCAGTGCTCTCAGCCCCACCCCCACCCCGACCTTGCCATGGCTTTGCAGAGCTTCCCTGAAGGGCTGCACTGTGGGCTTGGTTTTCATTCACAGCCGCCGTGCTGAGCTGTGCTTATGGATCCAGGCTCTTGTTAACAGTTTTCTTCTAGGTTTGAACTAACTTCTCAGAGCACTTGGGTTTGCTTGGGCTCCTTAGCTGTGTGTGCTTTTCTCCCTTCACATTTGTGGTGTCAATATGTTTGAAAGAGAAATAGCTCTGTGGCTTCAAGTGTTTCTCAAAATGGAACACAGGATACCTCTAGCAGACTAACACAATGAGGCATTTTGTGTCCATAATGGTGCATACTTCAGTCCCACTCATTCAGAATCTTGGATGGGTTCCCTTCCACATTCGTAGAGTATACAAGTTGGGCACAAAGGGGGCTCTCAGTCCAGTAGCCGTCCATGTTGGCAGATCCCCTGCAGCATGGCTGAAGGTTCAGTTTCAGTAAATGGCAAAGGGTAGGGAACAACGTGACATGCAGTTCTCAGAAGCAGCCCTCTCCTGGCCTCTGTCAAGGCAGTGCGGGTTCAGAGTAAATGGCTGCTCTCATGCTCTGGGTTAAAAGTGAGAGTGCCCCAAAGATTGGGAAAGGATTCACAAGGAGTGGAACCCTTTTTATCAGTCTTTTCATAAGAATCACTGCCAGAGGGGAACTTAGTCACAGCTGTCCCTGATGAATGGAAGCACAGTTGTCCGCCGTCTACTGCAAGCCTCTGAATTTCTAAGTCTGCATGCTCTGTTCTGTGTAGGATCTTCAAGATGTAGCGTAATGTTCTTGATCACATTACACATGTTGATAATTTCGTAACAAAGACATAGTCCTCTCTCCTAAGGCCCAAGTTCAGTAGAACAGGGTGATTAGGCTTCCTGTTCATTTATCTTCCATTCTAGAAGTTTCTGAATAGGAATTGAGACACCTCCATATGCTATTTAGGACATCTGTGTTTCCCAAGAGAAGATGTTGAGGCCTCGGCACAGCAGCCTCACACAGTCCCAGGGAGGTGGATCTTCCTGCTCTCACCCAACAGTTCAGCACACACCAAGCATGAGGATTTTGCTGCAGAGAGGGCAGGTGGGGGGCCTGTGTCCTTGGGGGTCTGCTAGCACCTTTCATGTTAGCAGTAGAATTTGCCATTCTTGGGTGGTGATAGCACATACCTTTAATCCCAGCACTTGGGGCTGGGGGAGGGGTGGAGGGGTGGAGGGTGGAGGGGTAGCAGGGTGTGGGGGGGGGAGTGGAGCAGAGGCAGGCAGATCTCTGAGTCCAAGGCCAACCTGCTCCAGAGTGAGTTCCAGGATGGCCAGGGCTACACAGGGAAACCCTGTCTCAGAAAACAAGACAAAAGAGCATGACTATGCCTGCCATGTTGCAATTTAAGACACTAAGTGTCTGTCCCAGGACCTGTGACCACTAACTCAGATATTACCGTTTTATCTGGCTCATCTACTTTTGCTAGCCCCAAGTACCCAAGTTAAGAGGCTGTGTCATAGAGGTGAGAAGGAGGAAGAGAAATGACATGATTGCTCATCATTGAATGTTTTTAAAATCAGCGTCTGGCCAGTTATAAAAATGATCAAAAGGTGGACAGCTGGAGAGAAGTCTCGGTGGGCTCTGGATGCCCACACTGTCTTCTCTAACTCCAGCACTACACGGGGAGGATGCAGATGGATTCCTGGGGTTCACCAGCCAGCCAGTCAGCCTAGCGGAAATGGCATGCCCTTGTTCAGGGGTAAACCCTGTCTGAAAAATATGGTAGAAATCTATTGAGGAAGACACCTTGAGTCAGCCTCTGGCCTCCATAGGCTCACCCTGCAGGTGCACCCACACACATCCTACCTCACGCATACACACAAATAACCCAAAAACCATGGGCCACATTTGCACATTTTACAATATTTTAACCTTGTTCTTTGTGCACTGAGCTGTCACTCCACACATCAGGTTTGAAGGCTCTTCCTCTTTGTGTTGTGTTGTGGGAACCTCACTTCCGGAGCACTGACCACTGAGCTGCTTTCCCTTTGGGAGATGTACAGCCACCTGGATTCCTAACCTGATGAAAAGGGTGTAAGGCAGAAAACCCCAGAAACTTTGGCTTCACTTATGACATCACGCAGTTTGGAAGAATGGTGAATAGTTGGCATGGGAAATGATTTGTCTTTTTTTCATAACTTTCAAATAAGATACCAGTCAGTGTAAAATGTGACTATTGGTGCCTACACTAAACTGCCATGGATTTGAAAATTTACGTTCTCTAAGTGTATAGTGATTTCTAGTTTTAATGCCTGTAGCCTTTCCCCATCTTTTAGACTGCTTGAATTCCTATCGCCCAGTTCTCCTATGTGCTGAGATCATTTACTGATGTCATGAGGCAGTTACCTCAGCTTTCTCTGTAGAGTCTTTGTGTAGCACCATTGCTCATTCACACAGAAAAACAATGCAAACCCACAGCATTTATTTACTTATCTCTGCTTCTGAGCTCTTTCTGCAGCTGTGTGGGCTTTTATTGTTTCCTTCTGCAAGAGTGGGCAGGTGACCAGATGACCTCCAGCACCGTGACCTCAAGACTGGCGCTAGTGGAGGGAAGCTGGGTGTGGATGTGTGGGAGTCCCATGCAGGGGCTTGTTTGTCAGTGGCTATGGTTATTCTTGCGGATGGAAGACAAGGATAAACTTTCCTCTCCATAGTTTGTTTTTAAACTTTTACTACACTATTTACCTCATTCTCTATATTTCTGTATATTAAATTGATGTCCTGGTACACATTGGGATATTGTTAGTTTTTCATCTACCTCAAGGATGCCTTGCAGAATTATGGCTCCTTGCACTGTGCCAAGGACTTTCACATAACAAAGACTGCCCTGCCAAACTTGTGTTTCTCATAAGTGCTTTGGAAAGTAGGAAGAGCAGACCTTCTGTAGACACAAGACAACAACATGTTCACGGTCACCGAGTGACTTGCTCATTGTAAAATCGTAGCGGTCAGATTCAGTCTTCTTCCCGAGTGCATCAATCTACCAACTGTCACAGGTAGGAAATTCTTTTACCTAACAGCTGCCTGTGTATGTACAGTACTAGAATAGTGTACATTAAATAGCCATTGCCTCCTGAGATCTACAGACCAAAACACTGTTCAGTCAGTTAAATGTTTCTTGAAAGGGAGTACCTGGGCTGGGAATGAGGCTCAGCATGCTGGAATTCCTGGGTTCAATCCCTAGCACCACATGACAGGTTTGGTAGCACACGAAGAAGGTGCAAGGTCCTCCTTAGTTACATTCTAAGTATAAGGCCAGCTTAGGGTACATAGATCCTGCCCCCCCCCCCATGAAAAAGATTGGTAAAAGAGAAATCTGATCGACTACCAGCTGGCAGAATTCCCTAAGGATTGCAGTTTATTTAGAACCACAAAGTAAGCAGTGGATAGACTAGACCCCAGTGGGTCGTGAGGGTTGGGTCTGGGTTGTTTAGGCAGCGTACTTTCATTGTTCAAAGGGGTTATGAGCTGTAGACTTGAGGAGTAATTCATGAATATTCAGTGTTCTTTAGGACAGTGGATAATACACAACCCACCATGTCATCAGGTCAAATTTGTGTTTTTCAATAGCTTTTTGTAAAATTTAAGGTTTGCTAATGAAAGTAATCTCATACTTAACATTATTGCATACATTTCATATACTACTCAGAGGAAAGTAGGGACGGAGGACTGCAGGCACAGGGCTGAACTAGAGAAAATTCACTTGTCCAGAGATGATATCAAGGTAAATCACCTTTGGGAGCTAGTAAAGAAGACACTGGAGGAACATTAACCAACTCTAGCAGGGCGCAGGGCTAGAATGTCCTTCAGTCCCGGGATGCATGTGTGTGTAGCTTGCACAAGGCCCTGGCATGGATCCCTAGTATCCTTCGCACACAGATGAATACAAAGAAAACAACAGAGAGGATGAAGATGCCTAAGATCTGATTGTTGTGTCAGAACTAAGACCCAAGTCCAGAGCAGTCGTGACTAGTTGACTAGTTAACTAGTGAGTGTGAATGTGGGTGAGAGAGAGAGAGAGAGAGAGAGAGAGAGAGAGAGAGAGAGAGAGAGAGGTGTTTGGTTCTCTCCTTCTATCATGTGGGCCCCAGG